TCACTGTCTCTTGGCTCTCATAGCAAAGGGCCTAGAGAAGCCAAATCCATAGAGACCCTCTGAGGGTTCAGGCCTGGGGCACTGGTGTCACTGGTGCAGACTTTCTGTCTACTCCTTGCAAGGTCCTGGCAGGCACAGTATCATGTCTGTGCCTCAGTCTCCTTATCTGTAACATAAAGAAAAGAGGAGCCCCACTGTCCAGGATTGATCCTTGCCATTGATCTGATCCTCCAAGGTAGAATAATGTCCTCTCCACTGCATGGTGTGCAGGGTCTGGGACTACTGGCTACTTTCCTGGGGTTTCCAGGTTTGGAGCATTTCCACTGCCAAACCTGCAAGGGGCACTGTGCTGTTTCTACCCTATCCCACAATTCTCAAGTGAGACTAACATTAAAGTTCTGTGTACCCCCCACCACCAACAACTCTACCCCAACTTGACAAAGGCTTTAAAAACACTTTGGTTGTGGAAAAAGTAATTGCTAAACTTCAGTTCAGATTGTGGATCAGTGGTGTTTGTTTTTTGCAAAGATTATCTAAAAGATTGTGAAAATTATTTTGCTGCATTTCCAGCAGCACTCTGGTCTTCTGAGCTCTGACCAGCCTCAGGCATTCCATCTGACATCTCTGAACCTTTCCCAACTCTCCCCACAAGCCAGTTCCAAAGGCATACTCACAACAATGACCTCTGTTGGTACCAAATTCTGCCTTAGTTACTTTTCTTGCTGAGACAAAATGCCCAACATTCAAAGTTAAAAGTGGAAAGGTTTATCTGGCTCACAATTTGTAAAGATTTCAGTCCTTAGTTGGCTGGTACTAAGGTAGAGGAACATCACAGAGGAGAAACAGTCCGTGGAAAAGCAGGGCAGATAGAAGACAGCAAGCAGCACATAAAAGCAACCTTAGCAGCTTTTCTTTCTGCCCCTTTTATATTTGATCTAGGCCACCAGGCTTCAGGCAGGTGCCAAAGCAGTAAGTGGACTGAGTTGGTAATCACACACCCTTAACTCCAACATGATACACTCTAGATCCAGCCATCTCTGAAAAAGCCCCCACCTATGATCCCAGAAAGCTTTGAGGTACATCTAGACACAAGCAAGAACAGGATATTAGGGCTGGAAGGAAATACAGAAATCAACTAACACAAAAAAGTGAAACAGTTGTTTTCTACCTATCTCATTGTGGGCGTTTGGGATTTTGTAATGGGGATTAAACCTGGGGACTTTGTACTGAGCTGTGTCCCCTTTCCTTTATTTTTTATTTTGACAGAGTCTTGCTACATTTCTAAACTGCCCAACTGGGCTCAAACTCTCTATCTTCCCTGTCCCAGCTTCCCAGAGTAATAATATTACAGGGTACACTACCACACCTGGCAAACTTTTAGTCTTTTGCTTTATTTTGTCTTGGTTCAAGATAGGATCTTACTGTTGTAGCCCAAGCTAGCCTCGAACTTGTACTCCTCCTGCCTCACCCTTCCAAGTGCTGGGATTAATACCATCTGCAAAGTGAACCTCAGAATACCTTACAGTTCATATTCATAAATGCCCAAAGCACAACAGAAACCACTTAGCATTGTGCCTATATTGGGCTTCATAGATGCAATTTCTCAAATGCATCTGTTTGGCTCTCCGAAATTACCCATTGAAACACCTGTCCTTCCACTATTTTGTCCTCACAAGCTGTTGATATGAAAACCAGAGGTTTCCAGGTGTTCGGGGTGTAGAGAGAACCGCATACCAGCTATTTGCCAGAGGAGTTGCATTCTCATACTACTGTACCACTCAGCTCCCAAAAAGTCTGCTGAGGACCCCAGCATTCTCTTACATATATTTTATGTTGTTTCACTGCTTCCCCTTGAGTAATATTTTATTTTTTATTACACTGTCAGATTTCATGGCTTCTTTTTGAGGGTCTAATGCTTTCTTGCTAAGGCTGTGTCTTACGAATGAATTTCCCAGCCATCAAACAGAAATCTCAGAGCAGATGTATATATTGACTGTCAAATTTTCTTTGGGTGTGTGCACAAGGGCAGTGCTTGGCTCTCACAGCAAAGGGCCTAGAGGAGTCATCCCATGGAGACGCTCAAAGGGTTAGGGCCTGAGGCAAATTAAACTGAAGAAGATAAGCATTCACTAGGACTCTAAAATTAATTTTATTTACATACCATATTTATTTTACCATTACTGGGGATTGAGCCCAGGGCTGTTCTGCCACTGAGCTACATCTCTAGGGTTGTTTTGTTTTGTTTTGCTTTGCTTTGCTTTGCTTTGCTTTTGTTTTGTTTTGTTTTGTTTTGTTTTGTTTTGTTTTGAGACAGTCTCCCTGAGTTGGCAAAGCTGGCTTCAAACTTGTAATCCTCCTGCCTTTGCCTTCCAAGTCACTGGGATTACAGGTGTCCAACACCACACTTGACTTGTTTTTTTTATATTTATTTTATTTTATCTTTAGCTGATCCAAACCAAAATTGTCCACAGTAAGGGGATACTTTGTAATGTTTCAATGCAGGCATTAATTGTATAATGTTTAAATCATGTTAACCCTTATCTCTTCAAACATCATTTTTTGTGGTAAAAATTTGCAGTCTTTTCTTCTACCTTTTTGAAATGTATAGTGCCAGGTTATTATTTGTAAACACCCAGCTGTGCAGTAGCACCCATGGTTGCTTCCACTTCCTGCTGCACTGTGACTGGGTGTCATCCCCAAACCTCTCCCGCCTTGCCCAGTGGCTAGTAGCCACTGTTCCACTCTCAGCATCTGTGAGGTCAGCTCCTGAGGTGTCCATATACAAGTGAGGCACAGCGCTTGTCTGTCCACGCAATGTGACGATCTCCAGTCACACCTGCACTGAACTCTTCACATTTTTATGGCCGACCAGCATTCCATGGTGTGTATGTCTCATGTTGTTTTCATCTACTTACCAGCAGATAAACCTCCTGGTTGCATCAGTGTCTTGTGCTACTGTGAATTTGAGGGTGCAAGCATCACTGGAACACATGGACTCATTTCTTTTCCTGTAGTGGTTGTGCTAAGACACATAGTGGTTCTAGTTTTTGTTTTCTCAGGAGCTCCTGTACTGTTCCCATAAATGGCCACACCCACTACATTCCTACCATAATGTGAGAAGGTTCCTTTGTGTCCACATTTTCACCAGCAACTGCTAGAAGAGAAGCATTTTTCAGCAAAGCTCCGGTACCTGGAAACTAAAATTCTGTTATGACTGCAAAATGAACTGTAGAATGAGACAACATGGAATGTGTTAATTTTCAGCAGCTGTGTAACAAATTAGCAAAAACTTAGCAAGTTGGAACAGTGCATAATTATCCTCTTACCACTTCTCTGGGTCAGGAGCCTGGGTCCCATGGCCAAGGTTTCATCCCACCTTCCTGCATGCATACTTGGAGCTCAGGCATTTTTTCAAGTTCCAGCTGTTGACTACTTGTAGTTTTTGGGAGTGAGGTACCCTACAAAGGCACATGGTGGCTGCTTGTGTTGTCAGGGTTGGCAAGAGAGGCTGTCCCTCGCATCTGCTAAGACACAGTCTTACAGTTAACCGATTGTGTTAGCTTTGTCACTCTGACAGAGTATCTGAGAAAAACCACTTACAAGGGGAAAGGTGTATCTTGGCCGTCAGTTTCAGCAGTTCCAGTCCATGGCTTTGTTTCTGGGCCCACAGTGAGGCAGACATTATGAGGGAGTCAAATTGCTCACCTCATGGAGAAGAGAAAGGTGCCCCCCACATTCAAGGAAACATTAACAAGGGTGTACCCAGAACTGTGCTTTCCTAATCTCCTCAGTGTTTCTTGGTCCAGTCAGATTGACAGGCAAGATTCACCATTGTACTGATGACTGTAGAGGGTCAACTTGTCAACCTCACCCAATGTGCTAACCTCCCCTTAGGCATAGCCTCTGCAGGAGAAATGAGTCCTGCCCACACACAAGTGGAGGGAATTACGTAGGGCAGGACTCACTTCCAGTCCTTCCATTCATTGTAAAATGTAAAAGTTTGCTGCCCTTGAAGGGACGCAAAATGAGTGACCTGCTGCCGACCTCCTCGCTCTGCTGACCAGCTGAGCACTGCTGCTGCTGGACTTGGTTGCCCATGCTGACAGATGCATTCTGGTTTAACCACAGTCACAAGACCTTATTCTTCCAGGTGCTTGGTTGTCCAGCTCAGATGGTTGTGAGGAAAACCAGACATGATATCTACACCAGCCTCACATGAAAGTGGCAGAAGCCATTTCCAGTCCACCACAAGGGTTCTGTGGAGAGGTGCAGATGCTCCGTGTGGTCTGACCAGCCACCGGAAGCCCTGGACTCCTGTAGCCAGGACATCAAGGCGGCAGACATGTCTAACAGCTCAGCTCCTTGTTTGTAGCGGTCTTCCTTCTTGCATCTGCACAGAACAACCACTGGGTTTATCAAAATTTGAGGAGTGAAAGACACCGCATTTCTTCCCTTTTCCAGGACTATGTGGCCGCTTCCGAAAGGCAATCAATGACATCATGGCCCGTTTAATGTACCCCTCCTGCTCGCGGCAGCACTGAGCATGTGTGCAGCTACGTGTGTTGCAGCTACTTTCACGCTAGTTCTCAAGTAGAGTGTAGATTTTCACCAATAAACAATCATTTGTTGGTTTTTGCTGTTGCTTCTGAATTTGGCTTTCTTACCATGGTTTTTACCTTATCCGCTCCTGCCTTATAAATTATGCCAGCTCTTCACTTAGATACAGATGTAGACAGAGTTGTACATTTATATAGATGAATATAGATATAAAGTAGTCTTTTGATTTCTTTGTAGTGCTGGGGATCGAGTCTAGGGGCACATGCATGCTAGGTGAGCACTTTACCACTGAGCTACAGCAAAACTGAACATGAATTACATGTTAATTACTGTCATGTGTGTAAGAAAATGGACGTTCATTACTTTGTTCAATCCCTGGAAAAGAACACAGAGAAAAATGCAGGTGGTATTTCAGCGTTCTCTCTGTGATTTCTTCCTAACAGAGGGTGGCTACCACTTCGTGAAGACCTCATCAACTCGAGGTGGGCCTAAGATGAGCATAACCAGTGACGAGGTGAACTTTCTGGTGTATCGGTATCTCCAAGAATCAGGTAAGAGGCTCTCTCTGGCCGTGCTTTGTCACAGACCAGTGGGATTCTCCCAGTGAGTCATCTGCTTTTGTGAAGTAAAACTTACTATGAAGTGTTAATGCATGAAGATATTTAAGACTTACAAAATGGCCTCAATGAACACTCATCTTCATGCGTTGGCACACCAACCCACCCTACTCGGGTCAAACCATCTCCGGTGTGGTATCCATGCCCGCTGTGTTCCCCTTCCTAGTAGCCTTACCTCATGTCACATTTCTGAATCCACTCCCAGGGATCTTGTGAATTTACTAAGCATGAATGTTTTCATAAGTGATAGGTAGTGTGGGTGGATTCATTCCCAGAGCAGTGTAACAAAGGACATGTGGTGGCAGTAACAGAAATAGTACCATCTCATCTTTCTGGGGAGCAGAGGTCCCAGGAAGTAGCAGGACCATTCTTCTGAGGGCCATGGAGAGAATCATATACCTGTCACTGCTTCTGGTGGTTTGCTGGCAGGCACAGGAAATCCCTGGCTTGTGGATGAGTTGCCTTGTCTCTGTGCCATATTTCTCTTGTGTACAGACTTAGTTCTAGTAAATCAAGGCCTTCTCACACTCCACTATCATCTTAGTTTGATTTTCTTACATCCAAACCAATCTGTTCCACCCAAATTGAGAGATGAATGTGCAAAATTCTGTGTGTGAGCTCTCTACTTCTGTAACACAATTCCTTAGATATACCAGCCTGAAAGAGGAAAGGTTGATTTGGGCTCACAGATTCAGAGATTTCTGTCCATCGTCGTCACTTGGTCCCATGGCTTTCAAGCCTATGGCGAGGCTGTTTTTCAGGACAGTAGGGCGTGGTGGCAACAGAAGCCTTGCCACATGGGGACCAGAGAAACAGGCAAGGGCAGCATCCCAGCATCCATGGCTCACTTTCAGTGACGTCATTTCATCCCATGAGGCCCCCTTAAATACTCCATCACTTCCCAGCAGCATTATGAGCTGGCCACCAAGCCAGCACATGTGGGCCTTGGGCTATGCCTCAGATTCAAACTCTAGCACATTGTTCTATGTATAAATCAGTTACCTCCCAGGAAACCATCCTCCACTGAAAATACCCTGGGTCAAACTGCATTGAATACTGGAGACTGATCCGGCCTGCAGATCAACCTATCCAGAACTCCTGGAGGGGGAACGGGGACTAAATAAAAGACATGGGGGAGACAAAGAGAGACGAAGGCAAGTCAAGATAATCTGATCAAGCCTCCAGTTTATTCAGGAAATGATCACACCTTTTATAGGCTAAGGGCAGGAGCTGGGACAGGAAGAGGTTAAAGAGATGAATACAACAGGGTCACCATCACATCCGGATACATGACGTAAGCAGGAGAGGATTATAGTTAATGTAGGCAGACCCAGTGCCCATAGGAGAGAGAGGCAGGGAGACAGCAATGCCTGTCACTCGGCTCCCTACAGGAGACCATTGCTTAGCCTGGCCCATCTGCTTTAGTTTGCATGTACTAGTATTTCAGGAGGGTTATATCCCGATAAATTCATCAGAAGTTGAAAATATTGTAAGTTGAAAATGGACCACATACACCATGCCTATGCCTTGCCCTAGTCCACATTGTAGTGCAGCACAGACTTTGGGTATTGTTCATGTCGAACATGACCAGGGGGCTCCCTGCATCTCTGGGGGCTCCTGAATCCATCACAAGAGACACTCATAGTATATAGGGCCAAGGATTTAGCTCAGCAGCATAAGTGGCTACCTGGCAAGTTGAAGGTTATAAGTTTGATCCCTGATACCAAAAAAAAAAATTATAGTATGTAGCCCAGTCCTGGAAAAAGACCCGGATGCAGAGCACAGACTGTACCATTATAAAGTTGATAGCCTGCAAGTTGAACTACTGTATGTCAGGGACTCTCTGTGCCAGGGTTAAGGTACAACCAGGTCATAAGCACCTAGGTGGCCTTTTCTAGACTCAGTCTAGATAGATAACATGAGCAGGCAGTGTAGCCACAGAGGATAGCACAAACCTGAATCATTGGTCAGATTATTTGTCCTACCTGAGCCTCAGTTTCCCCCTAAAGATGCCTAAGCTGAGCAAAAGTGTCCAAACAGATTGGGTGTGGAGTACATTATAAATAAAAACCCTCCTCATCCCAGGCTGGGATACCAGCTGGGTTATACATGGAGAACAAACAGTATGTATTGATATGTGACCCCCTCAGGCTGGCTGTCACCAGAACATGGTATGACAAATTAGGGTAGACACAGAATATGTGTCACCTCCCCCGCAGAAAGGAGTGAAGTGACAAAAAGTACTGAGACAGCAGCCCCAAGTCTGATCCCAGCCATGGCTTGGAGGACAACGAAGTTCCTTGAAAGCCCTGCAGCCCTCTTGGCTCCTGTGTTGCTTTAGAGAGCCTTCCACTCGGAAATGGGTCTACTCCCTGGTATGGTGATGGCAACAGTGGTCAAAATGTACAAACACAGCGGGTGGAGTGGTCCTCCCAGTATTTGTAGAAGGTGCATGTGAAAGGAACAGTACCCTGAATGTGGAGACTGGTCCCCTGGGGAGCAGAGCTGGAAGGGGAGATGCTCTCTGAATGAACCCAGAACTCTCCACCCCACCCATTCTCTGGAAGGTAAAAGTCAGCTTCCTAATGCTGTGTTAGTTTTGTTTTATTTGTGATAGAGACAGGGTCTCGCTATACAGTTCAGGCTGGGCTTGAGCTCACTTTGTAGCCCATGATGGTCCTGAACTCTCAACGATCCTCCTGCCTCAGCCTCCGGAGTGCTGGACCATTCCCCACTCACTCATGCTGTGTTTGCTTATGTTTGCCTCACGTTTGTTTACGAAGCCTCGGTAACCAGGCAGTGGGACAGGAGTTGGGAGAGTGTGTACTGACTGTCACAGACACAAGCTCTGAGATCTGTTGAGCGCTCTTCCTCCCCGGCATTGCAGCTTGGCTTCTGAGCATGGATGTTGTCAAACAGACTATCTTGCTTTGCTTGAGACTCTGTTCTAGAGGATGAGGCAGCCCTCTAGAGGCTGTTTTCAGAGGAAGAGGTCAAGGGGAGAGACAAAGTGTTCCTGCTGGAGTCCTAAGTTCTCATTTAGAGCTAGCTTGATCCCTGAAGTGGGGGTGAAGCCAGTATTTACTGAGAGACCTACTCCCCAGTCCATCAGAAGGAAAGCATCTCCTCTTCTGGGGAAGGAAGCCAGGAGCCTGTGTGCTCTGCCCAGCACCACTGGACCCTAACACCTCAGTTCTGTCCTCTGCAAAGTCATTCACCCCCAGCTATACTGTGTTCTGTCACCAGGAAACACTGCATGGCCAATCGTGCAGCTGGGGCTGTGGCAGCCAGTGGGACCTCAAGGGAAGAGCAGAGGGACAGCTGGTCCCCTGGTCGGTAAGCACCATCCCACCAGTCCATTTGGATGCAGTGGGCTGCAGGGGACAGGTGCGCCCGAGGCTGCCACCCATCTCGGGACAGGAGAGTAGGGCACTGGAGACCACACCTTCTGACAGCAATGTGGCTTCACACTTGGGAGCAGATTTGGAACATGGACATGTTTTGTTTTCTGCTCCCAGCTGTACTTGTCGAGTAACCTCAGCTTCTTTCCTGGCTTCCCCCAAACTGTGACACAGAGGTGCATCACCTGGCTGGCTGACATCACCATGCAAACATCACGTGGCTGGCTGACGTCACTGTGGGAACATGACAGACCTACTGACCCAGATCTATGGGTCCTGGTCAGCCCCTCCGTGTGGGGTCTTGAGACAACAGAGCATGGCGTGCTGCTTATTTTCTGAGTAGGAGGAGTAAGTCTAAAAGAATAAGTCTAGTAGAGCAGCTATGCATGCTCACAATTGTATGTGTTCCACTTAGAAAAGGCAGGTGGAGCAATAGGTGTGTTTATACCAGTGTCACCATGTGCGTGTGCATACATACATACAAGAGGAATACACTGGGCCATGACATTAGGACAGCTACATCACTAGGTGCTGACACTTGCGATCTTCCTGCATCAGCCTCTCAGAATGCTGGGATTCTAGGTGTGGGCCACCACACCCACCTGGAGAGGTGCTGGATTTTCATTGCTGTCCTTGTTCACTGAGCTCTAGCCAGAGAAAGTGATCCATATGTGCTGTTCATTTGCCAACTCTCACAGCTGCAGTGTCGTGGCAGTCTGAGAAAAGATCCTAGTTAAAAAGGAAGACTTAAATTATGTGCCAGGCACCTCTTGAATGAACAGCTTGAGTGCCAGAAGGGCTTGGTTTGGTTCCAACTTCAGGGAAGACTCTATTTGCCTCTGTCATCTGGGGACTATCTCACTGTCACTTTGGCCATCTGAGTAGATTTTGTGGGTGCAAGGTGAGAGAGCACTTGGTGCAGGGGCCCTCTTCTTGGGAGGGAAGCCAGGAGTCAGCCTCGTGACCCCCGTCAGCCTGCATGGACTCTTGTGGGCCGCTAGTCCAGATCACACATGAAACCAGAACTGTTCTCTCCAGTGAATCTAGCAAAGGGAACCAAAGTCCATTTCTGTCTTATTTTGAGAAGAAGGAAAAATTGACAAAGTGAGTCCCTGTGAGCCTGTCTTGGTTACCTTTCTCTCATTGCTGGGACAAAATAACCAGTACCCCGAATGAAGGAAGGGAAGGTTTATTTAGCTCACTGTCTATAGAAGTTTCAGTCCATAATCAGCTGGCTCCAAGGGAGGATGGCATGGCTTAGGTGCAACAATTCAAGCCGCAACCAGCAAAAGAGCCAGAGCAAAAAGTGGTTGGGGAGAGAAGCCTGTTTTCCTCCTTTATGTTACTCACAGGTCATCTTCCCTCCAGGTGTACCACTCACAAAATCTCCTTGCCCTCCTTTTATACAGGATGGGGATGTTTACAAAGTAAGGACCCTGACTTCCTGCTGAGTGTCTTAGTTAAACTTCTAAACTGCTAAGGTTGGCACAATAAAAGCCTATGAAGTGTTTACTCAGGGGATTCCTCCCTGAG